ATACCTAGTTGCTAAGTCCCTGTTGAAAATTAACAGCATTTTACTTCAAAAATGATTTTTTTAAAGCTACAATAGAAAATAACCTCACCTCTGGGCAATTAACATTGTATTGGAGGCACTTTTTTGAATGCAGATTCATTTAGCTGCATTTCTCTAAGATCTTGCTTGAATCAGCTGTCAGTTTACATATAATTACTGAGAAGTAGTAACATCTTAAGTTTTACCCAAGAATTAACCATGTAAGAAATTACCATAAAATAATTTAAATGTAGCACCAGAAATAATTAGGGAAGAAGCTACTGATCCTGTATGAAATTGCATCAGATGCCAATTCCATTATCAGTGTTTCTAAACTTATATGTGTTTTAGGAATAAATGTTCATTCATTGTGGGTTTTCAGCTTATAGAACAAATCAAAATTTAGTAATTGTGCCATCAAAATTTATACATAATTCAGCCATTCTGAATTCCCATTGGCAATGCTATAAATCCAATTCATAGGTTGCCTTTTAGCCTGGAGCTTGTTACCCCCTTTTTACAATTTCTATTCTGTGTTATTAATTTAAGACTTAAGTGTTTTATATGTTGTTGAATCAGGAGATAGCACTTGAAAATATAATCATTGCCATTGAAAAAGTTACTGAAGCCCTGGCCATAGTATTTTATTTGTCTCCCCCCCTCCCCCCCCAATATATCAATTTAAACTTAGCTACAATTTGAAAATCCAAGAAAAATGCTTTGTTTATGTAAAGATTTTACACCAAATTTTAAATGTATCTTTCTCAGTTTGGGGCAAACTATTACTTGACTCTGGATCTCATAAAAAGGATTGGTGAGAAAAGGTAAGTGGTACAGCCTTTATTCTTGTATAAGTAGCAAGTAATTTTTAAAAAAATTCTCTCAAGGTTTGGCCAAGTCACAGCTGAACCCAACAGATGTGTTCTAGAACCACCATTTTGGCTACAAAGGCATTCTCTTCCATTTCTCGCTCCAGTTCTTTCATGTCTTTTGTGATGTAATTTAACAGGTTATACAATTGGGGTATCTCTCCCACCTAATTAATCTTCAGCAACACTTGCTGGGGTTGGGATATTTTGAAGAGGACTCTACTTTGGTAAGAAATGATCCAGGAAAAGTGAACTGAGGATATATTCAAAGCCATTTTCAAATTGAAGTGAATAGGATGAATTAGTACTAATTTATACATGTTCTGTTTTAAACGAAAACCCTATATTATTTTGAAAGCAAACAAATTGAAGGGCTGATTTGCACAATCCTAAACTGGGTTTATCTTTTCAATTGGTGCAAAATCTTTTTATCTATGTGTGTTTGTGACTGACCAGCTGGTCATATGAATCACTTCATTATGATAATAGGTCACTGACATTACTGTGAGTATTGTTTGAGACTTCCATCTTTAGGCCTAGTTAGAATATATACTTTTGTCATCAGCTGATTTTAATACAAGTTCAACTTTTGGTCACATAGATTGTCGCATTAAAGAAATTATTTTTTAAAAGAGCCATTGGGACCTGTCAGAGTAGAAATTATTTATAATGTATAACTTAAAATGATTTGTTGTTCAGTATTTGGAATGAAAGCTAGAGCAATCATGTAAACATCTGTTCCTTCCTTTGTGGATTTCCCTTTCATTTTGCAAATCCAGCTGGATTTCAGCAAGATCATCTATGAATAATTCATTTCCATCCCTGTACCCCTCCTTTATCTTGGCTTCATTAACTTCTCATGTTGCACATCATTTCAAAATGTTGTGTAATATTCTTTCCCCAGGGCAAATCTAGCATTCATTCACGTAGGGTAATTGGGGATGTCTAGCTTTAATAAGAGAACTCAGCAGCAAAGTGGCTAACCAGAGTGGTGTCTTATGAGACTGTCTTTTTTAACTTACATATCTTTTTTGAGGTTTCTGGGAAGAGCTTATAGTGTCCTATTCTTAAGATATGTCTATTGATGTCACAGCACAGATTTTCACAATGTATTAAAATGAAAAAAAAATAATCTAAAACAAATCGACAAGAAAGTGCAGCTTTGAGGAGGAAAAAACAACAACCCTGACATCCATTTTGTCAACTTTTTTTTTCTTGAAATGTCTTTGTAAAATTAGTTGGACTTTTCTGGCCTTTTCCACTCCAGTTATTTTTTTTTGTTGTAAAATACTGTGTATATAAGGCGAATGTTTTCTGTTTGTTCTAAGCACATGTTTCCTTTGAAGAGGCCTTTTCTGTGGGTTCTCCTTGAGCAGGCTGCAGGGCTATGCTGGACCTTGATCTTCCAGGAAAAAGAAAACATAGTCCCTAAACTGGCAGGAGCATGACACATCTTTACTGAGCCTAGCTAAAGCTTAAAACCATGTGGATTGCTGTGGATGCTTTCCAGCCTGGTCCAAAAGGTGATTTTAATTTTGCATAAAGATGCTACCTCAAGGCTCTTAAGAGCTTTAAATGTGTCTTGCCTGTGAGAAGGACACACATTGATTCTGATAAGCTGTTCTGTTGCATTAGGTGGGAAGAATATTTTCTGTCTTTGGGGGGGCATTTTAAATCACTTTTACATCTGCCACATGATTGTTTTCAAAGTGTGAGCAGTTTTGCAGAGAGATCTGTTCTTGCACTGTAGTGTTGCCCAAGATGGGAAGAGAGTATCTTCCACATAAGACACTGGTCTCATTCTGATCTGAAGTTTGATTTTACTTTCAACTAATAAAAGCTGACATGCCATGTCCAACCTTTCTGACTGCAGTTTTGCATGTGTGAGTGTGCTTTCTTTAATCCAACAAATGCAGTCCTTTATCATATTTTCAAAAGAGCAGTTAAAACCAAGCTTTGCTGATCATTTACAAGCAGCAAACACTAAAATGAAAATGCATAGTGCAAGAACTTGGAATAATTCCAACCCTTCCTCTTCAGTGTTATTCTGAGATGGAAAAAAATGCTTTTTTAAAAAATGTGTTCCTCATAGACACTTTTATCAACTAAAAAACTTGCCTTCTACAGGAACTCTGCTTAACCTTCCTAGAGATGGCCTCCTTCCCTGGAACAACCTATCCCCCAAAAAACATACTGCATTTTCAAACACACACACACAAAACCAAGACTCTTCAAGGAGGCATTAGGAGGCAGTTGAATATCTTGATGCCTGCCTGCATCATGTTACATCAGCACCACTTCCTTGTTACATTTTTTCATGTTACTCAAGTGACATGTAAAGTGAAATAATAAATAAGCATGATCAAGTCAAGCAGCAGCGGTTCTGCCAATACCTAGTCAGCTTCGGCTCTTTACTTTCGCATTGCCTTGATAGGAAAGGAAGCAGGAAATAAAATTTCAGTGAACTGGGAGAAAAAGATACAAATGACATGTGGTCCATCTAACTTGGGTGTCAAACTGAAGGCATGTGGGCCGCATCTGGCCCGCGGGGTGCTTAAATCCAGCCCACAGGGCTGGCCTGAAAATATCAAGGGACTGGCATGTGGTGCCTCTGGCGGCTAAAATGGGCCTGGTGCAGCCCCCCTGCACCTCGTTTTCACCCATCATGGCCTCCTGCAAGACTCTACCAGTGAAAAACTGGCCCAAAACAGGCCAGAAAATGGACCAAAAACAGGCCACATGGTGCTGCATGAGGCCATGGAGGGCGAAAATGAGGCTCAATGGGGCCGCACACGGATCCCCTGGTGCCCTGTTTTGGCCAGCAGGGTGCTGCAGGAGGCATCCGTCCTGCCACCCCTCCTTCCCCCACCCCCGCCGGCTCACAGAGGAGAACTACAATGCTGATCCGGCCCTCAAAGAAATCCAGCTTGACACCCCTGATCTAACTTAACCCGAAAGAGCCAGTTTGGTATGGTAGTTAAGACACAAGGTTAGAAACTGGGAGACCGTCAGTTCTAGTCTCTCCTTAGGAATGGGGCCAGCTGGGTGACCTTTGGGTATTGAGTCCTTTTCAGCCCTAGGAGGAAGGCAACAAATGGCAAACTACTGAAAATTTTGCGAAGAAATCTTTATGGACTAATCCAGGGTGTCAACAGGAGTAAAGACTGACTTGAATGTGCCAAACAACAGCAACCCACCACTTCCAAGAAAAAATAAAGTAGATCAATTAATAGTGGACGCACTGCTGAGGATCACTGATTTTCAAACCTTAATCTGATATTCTTTTTCACCATATTAGGGAAGAGGGTCTTTAACTCACACATTTGTACAAAACGTTGGCACAAAGTTCTCAGCTATATTGCAGGCTCAGCCATACCTCCAAGGGAGGAATTTTTAAAAGTATTATTCATCCTGTAAAAAGTGGAAAGATACAATTGAAATAATTAATCCAGTGTCCTGCTGGGATAGATTGACAAGGTAGAGATAAAGCCCTTTACTCCCTGCTAATCTAATTTTTTCTTTTGTCAGAGCAGGCTAAGGGCTTTGGTTGTTGCACACTCATAAAGTCTGCCAAGCAGCCTTGTTCTCTTGTCATCTTTGATATCAGGGTTCTTAAAATAAATAGATTTCAGAGGCAACAGGTTGAAGTGTCTGACAGCTAGTTTATCTTATTTGGAGCTCTACCTCCGTTATTGGAGAAAATTGAGGAATTTGCGGTTCTGGGTCACTGTGCCAGGAACCATACAACTTTAGAATGCAGAAATCTGAAAAGCTCTTTTGACCATATTTGGAAATATTATTTGCTCAAGCCTCAATTTCAACAACAGAGGAAAGTCAATTGGCGTGAAGGAGAGGTAAACCTAGCCACATGGAATAACACAACAATGCTACACACACAGAAGTGCAAGTTCCATTAGAAAGTTGGATCAATTCTTGATCGGTCTTTCTGGAATGGTGATGCAAAGCTATTTTCTCCAGGTCCTCACCTCTTCTGCTGCCTACTAAGTATCTTGAGTTGTAGCTCCCATTGTACCAGCCAGAGAAGTCAAAATGGGGCTGGTAGGTGGGGTGGCAGACCTTGCCTGTCTCCTGCCACCTCGCACTTCCTGAGCCTCAGGCCACCTTCTTCTGCTCGGCTGAGTCACAGACCGATTTGTAGAATTCCAAGAGGAGCTTTGCAGATTTCCTGGGCCTCTCGAGGGTTATGAAGTGACCACATTTTTCCAGCCAATGCACTTGGGAATTAGGAATGGCAGCCGCCAAAATTTCTGCACCTGAAGAATCAAAAACCTACACAAAAGGAAACAAAGAATGTCTTCTCATCACAACTGAAATATTTTAAAGTGTATGTTGAAAAAAATCCGGCTTGGGTGTGCCACCTTACATTTGCTCTTGGAGCAATGTTCAGTACACAACCTTTTAATAGTAACTGATGTTTTACATAGCATCTCCACTATTCTGATATTCAGGTTTTAATGGGTTGAGTTGTATAGCCAGGTTACATGTGAGTTCTGTTAATATATAAAGAAAGGGTCCTTGGTGCTTTCTGAGCTTGGTTGTTTTCTTGCAGACAATTCATTACCCAAACATCATCAGTGCTAGCGCTGCCTTTTTTTTTTTTAATTTACTCTTAATAGTTCAACCTCGACCACTAAGATTCACCAGGATATTCTCTCTGCCATTATTTCCTTTCCTTTGATTGGATTTGCCTTATTGATTTTAGGATAAATGAGATGGATTGGTCGATTGATTGATGATTGATTCATTCATTCAATTTCTACTGCTGCTCTGCTCAACTCAACCGAGTGACTTTGGGTGGCTTCTAAGAAATGTATGAAAACTTTTATTAAAAAGTATAAGGGTGAAGGTATAGCAAAGTGGAAAGAAAAATGTCCGTTTTACATTTCTCCCAATTCTGGATTTAAAATAGTGCTGCCTTTCATCCTGTCTGCAGGTGCTGCTAACATCCCAGAATAAGCCCTGCTCCTTTTCAAAGGGCCTCCCTCAACCTGCTGTGCAAAGTCCTCAACCGTCCTCCTCTTGAAATGTAGGCAAAAATTTCAAGCTGTTCACTGAACTGCAGGATGTCACCTTCAGAATAACAAATGAGATTTATTTTCAAGTCAAACATTTCCACAAGGAACAATGAAACTATCAGCAGATGAACAACCATAACAGTACAATTTCCATGACAGGATTGGTTCTCTTGCCTGATTCTAAAATTATATAACTGTGCACAAAACCCCAGATATACATAAACCCCTTACCTTGTCCTCCTTTCCCCAAATGATCTGGGTGGGAGCTTTGATTTTCCTCATGTTGTCATGGAGGCTGTACCTCGATTCACTGCTGGTGAGGTCCAGAAAACCTTTCCCAATAAAAGGAAGCAAAATGGGGGATGTTTCATTCCATTCTTAATAAGCAAGGACACACTTCCTGGGTTTTCCCTGTGTCTGATCTTCTGTGTTCTCATGAATAATTGGAATTTATTTATTTAGCGTATGGCGATATTACATTAGCCAGGAGACTACAATGCTACGCGGTGTAGTAGTTTGGATGTCTTGTTTACTAGCTCCGTTTGGTACACCCTCATGCACTTCCCAAGGTGAGCCACAGGTGGGTGAGCTAACTCTGCACCAGATAGAAAGATAAGTAGTTTCTCCTGAAGCAGCATCTGAGGCCCTCCCTCTCTCCCTAAGCTGCCTCAAACAAGCATCGCAACTGGGACGGGTTCAGTGCTGGCAGGATTCTAACCATCCACACAATCCATCCTTGTCTCCCCCACCAAAATGGTAACTGTTTTAATTACTCACATAGAACATACTTCTGAACTGTTAGGTGGGCAGAAGCTGAGGCAAGTGACAGGAGCTCACCCCAGCATGTAGTGCTAGAACTCAAACTGCTGGTGCAAAAAACTACTGTCACTGAGTCACCACACTTCATAATAATGGGATGAGGAAATCTGATAAGGAACATTCAGCTGCAGGAGTGAATTTAACCCTTTGCTCCCTCATTTGCCTGATGCCAACCCTGCAGCTTCTCCAATTTGCATCTCTAAATCGAGGGTGTCAAATTCAAGGCCCAGGAGCTGGATCCGGCCCATGGGGTGCTTAGATCTGGCCCATGAGGCTGCCCTGGAAACAGAACAACCAGCCCACTATGCCTCTGCCAGTGAAAATGGAGCTCATTTTTGATGGCAGAGACCGTTGTGGCTGAAAATGGAGCTCAGGAGCCCGTTTTTGTTGGCAGAGCGCTCGGGCTACCACACGTACCCCCAACACAAGTGATGTCGATCTGGCCTGCCCCTCCCCCAAGGTCAAACACAGCCCTGATGTGGCCCTCAATGAAATCGAGTTTGACACCCCTGCTCCAAATGTAGCTGGGTAACAACCTCTGGGGGTTGAGTTGAATGGGAATTATGGGGGTTACATTCCTAACACCCTTGGAGGGCTTGTAAAATAGAAAAGGCTGTCTCATTATGGTGATGATACTGAAATGTGTGTCCACGGGCATTGGCTCAACATGTTAGTGCCTCTTCCATTGTAAGCTGCCTTCTTTTCTGTGATGTGATCCAGAACCGAGCTACTATTAAACAGTGGAAAGAATTTCAGAAGCCTTGCTTAATCTGCTTGAACAATGGGCCCTATCCAACAAAACGAATTTCAATATGGAGAAAAGCAAAGTTTTACATTTAGCAAGGAAAAATCAAGTACAGATTAGGTGAGACCTGGCTCATGACCTAAAATGGACACCTAACATCAAAAAAGTCATCAAAAAAGCACAACAAAGAATGTTCTTTCTGCGCCAACTCAGAAAGCTCAAACTGCCCAAGGAGCTGCTGATACAGTTCTACAGAGGAATGATTGAGTCTGTCATCTGCACCTCTATAACTAACCGGTTCTGCAACCCAACAGGACAGACACAGACTTCAGAGGATAATTAGGACTGCAGAAAAAACAATTACTACCAACTTCCCTTCCATCGAGGACCTGTACACTGCACGAGTCAAAAAGAGGGCTGTGAAAATATTTACAGACCCCTCACATCCCAGGCACAAACAGTTTCAACTCCTTCCCTCAAAACGATGCTATAGAGCACTGCACACCAGAACACAAAAACAGTTTTTTCCCCCAAAAGCCATCACTCTGCTAAACAAATAATTCCCTCAACACTGTTCAACTATTTACAAAGTCTGCACTACTATTACTGTTAATCTTCTCATCACTCCTTATCACCCATCCCCTCCCACTTGTGATTGTAGGACTGTAACTTTGTTGCTTGTATCCTTACGATTTATATTGACTGTTTCCTAGTATGATTTGATTGTTGATTGTACCCTATGACTATCATTAAGTGTTGTACCTTATGATTCTTGATTCTTAACGAATGTACCTTTCCTTTATGTATACTGAGAGTATTTACACCAAGACAAATTCCTTGTGTCCAATCACACTTGGCCAATAAAGTATTCTATTCTACACTTGGCCAATAAAGTATTCTATTCTATTCTGTTCTGTTCTGTTCTGTTCTGTTCTGTTCTATTCTAAAAACAGTAACTGCAAGAAGGACCTTGGAGTCCTAGTGGATAATCACTTAAATGTGAGTTAGCAGTGTGCAGCAGCTGCCAAAAAAGCTAATACTATCCTGGGTTATATAAACACAGGCATAGAATCAAGATCATGTGAAGTACTAATATCACTTTATAAAATCCTAGTAGGACCACCCCTGGAGTACTGCCAGCAATTTTGGTCACCATATTATAAAAAAGATGTTGAGACTTTGGAAAAAGTTTAGAGTTCATAGCAGCTAAGATGATCAAAAGCCTGGAGACTAAAACATATAAAGAATGGCTGCAGGATTTGGGTTTGGCTAGTCTAAAGAAAAGAATTAAGGGTGACATGATAGCAGTATTCCATTATTTGAGGGGCTGCCACAAAGAAGAGTCAAATTATTCTCCAAAGCACCGGACAGCTGGACAAGAAGAAATGGGTGGGATTCAAAAAAAAATTAACAACTGGTTCTGTGGGCCTGGCTTAGGTGTTGGGCATGGCTTGGTGGTCATGTGACTGGGTGAACATGGATTGGTGGTCATGCTATTGGCTGGGTATGGCCAACTCAATATCACTCACATCGAGGAACGCATCTTCTTGCCTGGCTTCTCATGACTGTGGGGATGCTGCAACAGTCGTAAGTGTGAAAAATGGTCACAAGTCATTTTTTTCAGTGCCATTGTAACTAAATGGTCACACACAAGCAAAGTACCAGCAAAGGAGGGGAAAAAAACTCCAGAGAAGTTCCTGTGACAGGAAGTCTCGTCCTGCCAAGAATGTAATAAGGGTTAACGGAGAGGCAGTTTCTGTAAGCAACACCAGAATGTTTCCTTCCTGCCTTCCTTACAGGATTAGGCCAGTAATTTCTTCTAACAACCGGTTCTCCGAACTGCTTAGAATGTTAACAACCAGTTCTAGCGAATAGGTGTGAACTGGTAGAATCCCACCCCGGTTGGAAACTAATCAAAGAGAGAAGCAACCTGGAATTAAGGAGAACTTCCTAACAGTGAAGACAACCAGTGGAACAGCTTGCCTCCAGAAATTGTGGGTGCTCTATCACTAGATATGCTTAAGAATAACTAGATAGTCACTTTTCTAAAGTGGTATAGGTTCTCTTGCTTGAATGGTACTGAACTAGAAGACCTGGTCCCTTCTGGCTCATTCTATTCTAGTTGCTTTCCCTGCTTCACTACCTTAAAGAAATGTATAGTAAAACAGACCCACATTTTACTGATATATCAGTACTTTTCAGAATTATTTTTTCATTGTAGAAAAAAGAAATGTCCATATCTGAAACAAACCCATTGAAAATGTCCTGAATGAAGGGCTGGTTTTGGCTGTAGCTCCTTGGATGGATTTTCTTGATATTAAATGTATATTGGTCCCTCTAAAATGGGTTCCCAACCCCTGAGCCATAGCCCACTACTGGGCCATAAGCCATTTGGACTGTGACCACAGAAGCGGCAGGAAAGCGCATCGCATACGCGCATATCCCCAATTGCACAAGCAGCGGGCGAGTGCTTGTGTGCGTGCTCCATTTGCACAAGCAGCGGGTGCGTGTTCCCACGACAGGTGCAAATAGAGCTGCATGTCAGCAGTGGGATCCTACCTGTTCCACTACTGGTTCAGTGATCGCGCACACCTAACACACACACACGCGCCTTTTCCCACACCAGCTGAGGACTGCAGCGCCAATCAGCCGAGAGGATAAAGAAGAGGAAAGCACAGGCGCGGGTGGGAGGGCCAATCCTGCACTTTTCTCCTTTCTCCTCTCAACTGATTTTCCAGGCTTTTCTTCCTCTTCTCAGCTGATCGTTGGAGACCTTTTTTTTTTTTTTAACTACTTGGTTCAGCTGAACCAATCCAAACCGGTAGCATACCACCATTGCTGCACGTGCTTGCCGGCCATTCGTGCGGGGAGATCATCCCTTCTCCCTCCCCCCTCACTGGTCCGCAAAGCAGGAAAGGTTGGAGAACTCTGCTCTAAAAGGGGGATGAGTAGCCAAGCCTGGTCCACGCTGTGTCTTGTACCTACACAATGTAAAAAACATCTTGCTTGGTTTCCGATCCTCAAGGTATCCCTTTAGGAGCTAAAAGTGAAAGGAGAAAAGGACAAATCAGGCAGTAAGGCGGTGTTAAAATTTAAAATGAAATGTGCCATTTTTGTCCCCCCAACAGTTTCTCTATTCTTAGATTAGGTGCATCGCTGCAGGAGGATACTAGCGGCAATCCTCGACTTATGAGGACTTTGAGCAATTGAGTTCAACATTTCTGTTGCTAACAAGATATTTGTTAAGCGAGTTTTGCCCCATTTTAGAAGCTTTCTTGCCACGGTTGTTAAATGAATCACTGCAACTGTTAAGTTAGTAACATGGTTGTTAAGTGAATCTGGTTTCCCCACTGACTTTTGCTTGTCAGAAGGTCCCAAAAGGGGACCACATGCACAAAAAGCAGAGTGAATGAGAAAGGAGAGGGACGGGACGGGAAGGGAGGAACCATAAATCTCTTTTGTTATTCAAGCATTTGGGAAATATTTATGCTGGTCTCCCTTTCATCTTAAATGTCAATCTTGTGCACTTCCTGACTGTCTTGTAAAAGAACTTGAGGAGAAATGGGAAATGTTATTACAAGGGACACAGAGAGCAGCAATCTAGGAAGAAGTCAGATCTTCACCTGCATCTTTAAAAAGCTGGGTTGGTATAGGCAAATTTTCATGAATTTTTCTATTTGCTCCTTAGTAACCGAAACAAGAGCACTCTCGGCAAAATCCTTTGATAAAATTAACTGTTTTAACCACAGAAAGAGTTCACTTTGTTTTGGAATCTTCAGACCTAAAAAGAGGGTGAGAAAATGGAATATGTTTTAAAAAATTACTACCACTCTAGAACTAAACTAGCAAGAATCTTAAAAATATAGAAATAATACTAAAATGTGTTAAAGTGAAGTAATTTCATTTATCAATATCCTCAGCTGGTAAATAGCAATAGCACTTAGGCTTACATACCACTTCATGTAAATATTCAATAGCAATAGCACTTATACACCGCTTTACCACAGGGATCCCCAACTTCTGAGCCATAGCCTACTACTGGGCCGTGAACTGTTCAAAACCAGGCTGCCCAAAATGGGTGAGCACAAGCATGCGCGCACATCCCCCTTGCACGCGCTGAGGGCATGCATGTCCACCACTTGTGCAAATGGAGCTGTGCGTATATGCACCTTTGCCCGCTACTTGCGCAAAACCATCCCATCTCCCCCCCCTCCTGCACCGGTCTGCAGTCCAGAAAGTTTGGGGAACTGTGGTTTACAGCACTCTCTAAGCAGTTTGCAGAATCAGCATATTGCTCCGAAAAATCTCATTTTATTGACCTCGGAAGGATGTAAGTGTGATTGTGTTGTGTATGTTGATGTTGTTAAGATATAGTGTTTTTTTAAGGCAATATCAAATGGGAAGGGAAGCCTCTTGGTGCCATGATTCCAACCCACTTAGTTCAGTAGTTATTACGTATTATTATGTTCAAGTTCTGGTATCAATAGATATGCTGGAAGATCAGTTATATTAAATGGGGTTTGTTGGATCTGGAGGTGAACTCCCCATAGTTCCATGCTGGCTGAAATGTCAATCATAGGTTTGATTGAAACTTTTTGAAAAGGGATTAGAACAACATCCTTGTGGAGGATTCTAACGTTGAATTCAAATCTAGCCACGGTGTTATAAATGCAGCTACCCAGAAATAGCTATGCAGAAATGCATGAAGCATTTTCTGATGAGAGAAGTCATTTCCAAACAGTCCATTAAGTTCTCATTTTATAATCTAATTTTATAAGCATTCTGGCTTTTTCCTTCACACTTCACTTACTTGATGTAAATACTTACCAGCTGGGCAGAGGAGTGCTAAAGAGGAGACGTGGGCTGGATAGAGAGCGGCATAAACCCCAGCAACCATGCCTCCTATGGACATGCCAACCAGGTGGAAGGGATTATGGTTCAGGCCAGCACACTGGACAAACTGAAACAAACATTTGGAACAAAGAAATTGAGGTTGTTCTTTCATGAGATGCTCACCCATCCTAATCCCTTCTTTCTGGAACTAATTGCACAATATAATGAACACTCAATTAGTTACATGGGCTGAGTTCATACTGTCAGGTAGGGTGAAAAATTGCTCGGGATTTAGTGATTCATGCAGATCACTGTTTATATGGCTGATACAGCAGCATTTAACATGACAAGTAAGAATGTCATCAAGCAGTAAGAACAAGATTGATTAAAGAAGGAACTGTGGTAATAAAATGCATTTTGTCAATACATTTGATTATACTGTCCAAGCCTATAGAACAATGTTGATGTTTCCAAAATATGGAAAATTTATCTCACGGGGATAATGAAGCAAAAGTAATAATGGCAAAGTTAAGAACATCTGTTACAGCTCTTTATAAAGGTGCTCACAAGATAAGATTAATACTAAATACTTGAAAGCTTTCCCTCTATAGGAGAGTGCACAAGACTGACCGATTCTTAGACATGATAGTTGATGTCCCATTTGCAATCCCAATCCAAAACATAGCAATAGCACTTAGACTTATATGCTGCTTCACAGTGCTTTACAGCCCTCTTTAAGTGGTTTACAGAGTTATATTGCCCCTAACAATCTGGGTTTTCATTTTACCCACCTCGGAAGGATGGAAGGCTGAGTCAACCTTGAGCCTGGTGAGATTCGAACTGGCAAATTGCAGGCAGCCAGCAGTCAGCAGAAGTAGCCTGCAGTACTGCATTCTAACCACTGCGCCACCACGGCTCATACATGACAATATTGCACAAATCAACAAGTGTTGGAGGAACCTTTAATCACAATGGGCCTGAGCATATGTTTCTAGGATTGTCATAACAATCACACATCAGACTGAAGTTATCCTAAGTAAACCCCAATTAATTAGGATTCATTGAGATTAGTAAGGGGATAAGGAGCATACAATTGCAATGTCTTCCATGTGGGACTTAGCTGTAGAGCCTATTTTTCCTTGAATTGTTTTGTGGTTAAAGCTGGACAATCTATGCTCAAGGAGGATTTATTAAAGAGGGATGAAAATAATACCATTTAAGTATCATATAATGCACAGCTGCTTTACACATCTGTGAGAATTTTTGAAGGGATTGATTATAGAGCATTGGGTTTCCTTTATGTGCACTTCTAACAAAAATATTCTTGCTAGATGGCAACATCTAATCAATATTGGTTCATCTTGGAAAACTAAGCAGGGTTCAACCTGACTACCATTAGGAATATCTGTTCCAGAGTGAAAAAGTAAAAACCAAAAGATGGAGCCGGGGGCAAAATTCTTTTTTCTCCAAGAAGTATGCTTGACTCAAAGGAGATTCTACATTTTTAATTACAAAGAATAGATGCTTTATATATTTTTCATTGCATAGTAAGTCTCACCTTGGTTTATATCCAATGTCTCATCCCTCCTCACTTTCCCCCTTTGCTGCCACCCATCAATTCAAAGAACAATGTATCACACCACAGTTCAAGAGATACCCTACCTGGTGTATCCTTTTAGCTTGAGCAACTGCTGTGTGACTTTCTGCGAGCAAGCGAGTGGTTCCCCCGTGACCTGGCAGATCAACGCAGACCAAATGGATGTCCTTAGGAAAGATCTATGGGGAAATGGTCCTGCATGTGAAGCCAAGGAATCAAAGCAAGAATAGCTGGTTCTCCACACAGCCAAAAGCAGGACTAAAGAAGAAATGCTACTCTTGGTCCCAGACCAAATCCAGTTCCCTTCCTCAACAGCCACATCCACCCTACCCTGTCTTTTCCTTTTCTTCCATTCCTCTCATCAACTGAAGCATTTCGGAAAGCCGTGAGCATGCTCAGACTTCACTGATTTATTTGGGGAGATGGTTATCCTCCTTTAGATTTCACTCCCGCTTACTGTTCCACCAGTGACGTGTTATGGATAGCCCAAAGCTTATAAGATCAACAATTTGCACAGGATCTGAGTTTCCCTGTCTGCTTTCTCGTAGTGGTAGATGGCTGGTTCTCAGATACCCCCAAGAAGATCAAGAAACAGAAAAATTGGGTAGAGCTTTAGATGTGGACATCAGCCGTTCTAGCCAGGAACTTTGGAGATGGTTCTCTTACTTGAAGGAAGTGGAGCAGGCTATATTTCAGAGACACCCACAGCTTTATCTTTGGTCTTCCACCCATCCCACTCTGCCCAATGGCAAGGAGGCTCAGGGGCTGTAGGCAGATGGGACACAGGGAATAGTATGGGCACATTTCCTTTAAAAGAAAGAAGGCTTTTGGCAAGCACACAGGAAGTTTCGTCAATGACTTCTAGCACCCAAGGCCAGGCTAGCATCATCCAAGCTAGAATAAAAGGAAGACCTACTTCAATGGTATTTAACCACATGTCTTTGTTGAGTGAGAATCCATGAAGCATCAGCACAGATGGTCGGGATCCAGGCTTCCCTTGGGTGAAGTATCTGAACCGGTAGTCCTCACTGTTGAGGTACTTCATCTTCACACCCAAACTCAGACGCCTCGTCCTGAAAGAGTGGAGAACAGTATAGGAGGCTGATGAGGATTTTGTGCAGGAGGCATTACTGTGGAATGACTTCCAGTCCAGGCTTGGTGTGTAGTGGATGGAAGAGGCTATGAAAGCTGTTGTAGCTGTTGTAGTCTACTTGCTTCTAAAATGGTGTGAGTTTGTGGAAAGGGAATACGGAGAGAAGGCAGTGGCAAGGTAACTTTGAACTTCAGAGCAGAACCCTAACCCTAAGCCTGATAGATAAGCAGGGAATGATTATAGGAGGGAATCCAACCTTTATGTCTTCCTTTCCTGCTGAGGTAAAGTGCTCTTTATCCATTCTTGAATCTTCTAAAAAAAATTATTTTTATGACCCTGTAATCCCTTTTATTGGAGTGGAGTCAGGGTAATTGAATGGAACTGAGTGTTTACTGGCTGGATGCTCTTCCTGACACCTATGTGGAGTTCGCAGCAGACATTTTCTCTTCGCGCCCTGATAAAGAAACATCTGTCACTGCCTAGAATTGAAGTCTCAACTTCCTGAGTGTGAGGAGAGCATCTTTACCTATAGGCCACCACACTGTTCAACCAGCTAAAAGCAATACTAGCATGATATTGGCGATTTCTGTTGCCAACCATTATTGCATTTCTATTGCCTTTGCTTCAATTCACTGCCAGTTCCCTCACTTTCCTCTAAAGTGATGGGTGATGTAGCCTAACATATTTTACAAAATTTGAAGCTGCCTTTCCCGTACCACCAACAATGACCAAAGGCCATGTCATCCATGAGCTGAGGTTGAAGTGATTAGAGGAAGAGAGAGAGAGAGAGAGAACACAAATTGGCAAAGATGTTTGTGCAAGTGAGGAGAAGTCTCTGAAAATAGGTACCATTCCCACATGGCAAAATTCTAAGATTATTTACTAAAAGCTTCATAGTCACAGGATATAAAGAGTAAGAAAGCTGATCTTGATGGAAAGATGCAAAACCATTACCTAGGCAAAACATTTCTTAAGGCCTGAGAAACAAGATAATATTCAGAAATACTTCCTTAATTCATAAGGAGGTACATACAATCAGATTTATATGATTCTATTATTATAGGCATTCTCAGTAAAAGTAGTTATAGACTTCCAGAGCAGTAGGTATCTTGATCCTGACTACCTAATGTGACTGACACATTCTGTGTGCCTGGTATTGTTGGGAGCTGTTGTGGCTATTCAAGATCAGACTTCCTAGTACTCACCTTTCCTTTACAAATGTTTGGCTACTGGTAGTTCAAAGGGCCTTTCTCCACATGAGCCCAATAAATAACCATGTACCCTCGAACTCCCAACATTTCATCATGATACTGACTTGATCTTGTCTTCAGTCCATAGGGTTTTTTCCTCCCTTCCTTCCTGGGCAAGACTTCAGAAAATGGGTACTGCAGATCAGTACACAACATGTGAACTATGATGTAACTGACCAAGCATGTCATGTATTTTACAAGAAACAGACTTACCAGATTATGAAACTGAATATCAGAGAAGACATCTGGTTGCATTTTGAAATAAAGAAGTTAATTAAGATGTCTAAAGCACCATGTGTGATCATTTTGACCATGTTGTAATCCATGCCTGTAAATTAAAGTGCTTCTTTATTGTTTTTGTTGCCAAAATAAACAAGACATAAATATACATGGGTTCATGATTTTAGATCCTGTTAACCAATGACTCAGATGATAAAAGCAAGGATTTAATTATACTGGTTAGTTAATTATACCATAATTAGGGGGATTGCTAATAACATGGACAACCTCATTATAAGGTTTGCACATTCATGGAGGATAAAGCTATTTATTATTATTAATGTATACACAATCATATAAGAAGAAATGTTATGGATTTGAGGGACCCTTTAAATCAGTGATCCCCAACCTTTTTTACGCCGCGGCCC